CTGCTGGTTCGTCTTTTCAAGCAGAACTGGCGACAATCGTTGAGATTTACATTTTAAGCATTATTTGAAGTATTTTCTGTTTATATTGAGGATATTGAAATTACCTAAAGAAAACACCCCAAAAAGAAATTAAAAAGATGCATAATAAATCGACTAAATCGGTTTAACACGTATAATCTAAACCAGTCAACCGTACTTAACTACGCAAACGATGGAAGAAAAAAGGATTTTCTTATTCACTCTGAGATTTTTTCAAGGCATAATATAGCTCCCCTAAATTAGAGCATTGCAGCGATTTTATTTACAATTCAGGGAATTGGCGCTTTAAGATTGTGCAAAATCAACGGGATGGGCATTTTTCTTGATTTACGTAGAGAGATCTTCATTTTTCCAATTCCCTATACTTTTCGGGGAAATAGACCCCAGAAATCCAGCAGGTGCTCAACTTCATTGCTGATCCCGAGACGATGGAAATTGCGACCTATGAGACGACCCGACCTGGTGGTAGAAAATGAATGGGTCACAGGATCTCCGGGGGTTTTCCGGATCCAAGATAAATCCTTGGGTCCGACACGTCGTTACTTGGTCAACAGGTGTGGCGCAGTATTGATTTTGTTTTCGTTAACAATTAATAGCTATGGCGTGTTTTGGGGTCAGTCGATGCTAAATTCTGCTTTCACGTCGAGTCAAGCCAATCAAAAGAAAAAAAAAAAAGCTGGCAACACGTTTCCCTTCTGTATAGGCATATATTGTATGCATCAATTCTTCCTTGACGCAATTGCCTTGTCAAATGGCGACTATGGTTTATGCACATTTGCCCTCTTTCTGTGGATGCAAATAACTCCGATATGCTGTTTAATGATCGATCGCACCTTGTCGAGCTCTTGACTGAGTTGTTCTTGAAGGAATTTTGCGTTTAAAATTTAATAGAGCATTTCAACGAAGAAGAAAAATTCCCATGTCTCTGAGCTAGAAGCGTTCAATTTTGCACTAGTCTATACAATTAATCTCGGCCGAGTATAAAGAAAATATATTTCATTCTTGATTCGAATGATTAAACTATTTCCTCTGCTGAACTCGTCCAAAATTTTTTGGATTTTGGACATGTGAATAACTGAAAAAATAGGGTTTTGGCGATAGCAGTTTATGCAAATATACGCTCTTTTCCCGGGGATGCAAATAATAAATCCAGTATCCTTCGAAATTCTAGATCATACATTTTTAAGCTCCTGGTGAAGATTTGGTAGAAGAATTTTTGCATTGATGTAGAGCATTGAAGCAAATAAAATAAATATTTCCCGCATTTTGAGGCTGAAAGTTAAATTCTGTAATTTTTATGCAAAACCTCGCAGCTATTTGCATAACCTCGTGCAAATTTTCCGCGAAGTTATGTAAATAACTGCGGTAAAATATACTGTTTAAAGAGAAACTGTTTCATTCTGGCTTCAAGAATCCATTCCCATGCATAAGCTCGTCTCGAAATTTCTACCGATGATATCGAAACTTTTAAAACAAGTACTGTACTTCAACAAAATTAGAATGTACAAATATTCTGTCTGTGTGGTGATTCTGGTTATAAGAATGTAGAACTTCCAAATAATTTCCTCTGAATACGGGCGTGAATGCTGTGTTTGTAGACGTCCAATCACAAATTTCATCCTTCGGCTGCTGGAAAACGTTCCAATTGTTGGTCGAGTCGCTCGCGCTGCTCTACAAGTCGACTCTTTGAGAAAACTCAAGCCCGGTGATCTGTATGAAGTCATGATTGATATGAACGGGTTCAAAAGCAAAGACATTCGAATCGCAGTGAAGGGACACGTGGTCAGTGTTCAGGGCAAATACGACCACGTGAGCCAAGATGACAAAATGGCGCATGCAATCGACAGAGAATTCACTTTTCCAGAAATGGCTGACACTGCGTTCCTTCAAGCTATTCTTCGTACGTATTCAACACAATTCAAAACGAATTCAGGTGAACCCCAATAAGTTGAGCCTCCCTAAGTCAAATAAATCCCTAAGTTGAATTTTTTAAAGTCCCTGTCTGAATTCCTTCAGAATCAGTACTATACATTAAGACATCCCTAACTCAAAGTATTTTCTCTAATACCTCTGTAAGTCGAATTTTCTGAGGCCTTCCGGTTACTATTTTATTTGATCGCCCTTGAAAGAAAGTGAAAGTCAAATGTAGTAATTGAAACCCTGCCTCCAAGTTCAGCAAGGTGTAAATTCATTAAGGAGCAAGTTTAGGCCCAGAATATCCTCATTTATGATTTCCCACAATTTTTTCACTTCTCCTCACAACAAAAGTGTTTGTTTCCTCAACTGGAAACCTACAAAAATCAAAACCTCTCTAAGTGGAATTTTTTTCATGGCACCTAGAAATTCTCACAGAGGTTCAGCTGATTTTAAAAATGGCTTCATCATGCATGAACACATTCGGTGAATTTTCAACGATATTTCAGTCAAACTCCGTTATGTTCGCTGATGTTTCCGCTGAAAGCAACTTTTTGGTCAAAACGTGATGGACAAAAATTTGAGCTGCTGCTTTCACAATTTAATGCAATAAAATATTCCGCGGAATTCCAAGTAAACTTTACTTTTAACTTTGAAACTGTTCATGAATACGAAAACAGGACGCAAAAAAAAAATGTTCCACAACAAAATTGAAGGTTCAACATTTGAGCGGAAATTTTCTCCAAAGAATTGCATGAATTCCGCGCTGCTGGCAACACTGGCGGGGAAACGTGTCGTAGAATTGTTTAGAAATCGTTAAGTTTACCAATAATAAAAGAAGTATTTTTTTAATGCTCACGTCATTGAAAAATAATCACAGAATCCGATGGAACAATGAGGCTTTCAGCTCCAGTCGTTGCTCTTGCTGAAGAAGTCGAGAAACTGATCCCAGTTCAACAATTGCCTCCACCTGCTCCACCACCAGAAAACGTGCCACCGAACAGAAACCTGTATTCTATGGAGTGCGAAGTTTGTGGCCCCTTTTCAAAGCCACGCAAAGTTCGTTGTCACATCGACATAACCTTAATAGATTTTTAAATAGTCTTAAATTAAAAAAAAAAATTGGTTCATCTACCAAATTTGAGACAGATACAGACATTGTTGATGCTGAATCGATTCGTTGATTCATCTTCAAAAATTTTTTTTAAATTTCTGAGCTCATGAAGAATGATTGAAGATAGAGAGAATATGGAACGATTAAAGGCAAGCTATGATGGGAAAACTATTTCTTAATTAAAATGTGTTTATTTTTCGACATTTACTCGTATATGCGTGCTTTCTCATCAGTAAAAAGGCTTTAAAAATTGAAGATCTTCTCGAAATAGAAGGTTAGTATTTATTACACTTTAGTTTCCAGGTAAACTGATGCTGTTGAAAACGAAAACCGATTTCCTTCGGAGTAACTTCACAGCAAGCTAAATAAGAAAACGTGGACATTATTTGAATAATGTCCGAGGAGTCATACATACTGCATCGGCTCTTTGCTCTAATGCTAACAATTAGCATTCATAAAAATCCTGACCACAACTTCATAGTTATTGCTAATAATTGGCTGATGTATACATTTTCAGACTCAACTTCAAGAGTTATTTACTCAGCGATAGATTATTTTCCATAATAGTTTTTCCGTCTGTATAAATGCTGAAGATGTGTGTGGGTCACTTCACTTCCAATACTTTTGAAGAACTTCAAATTGCACCGAAAACTTAAAAAAATCCTTCTAATTTGGCTGATTGAAGCATGAAAAAATGTCAAGACTGTTTGGAATATTTTTAAATAATGACTTGGACTTTTCTGATAGGTTGGCGAATAAAGCTAGATTTTTGACCCCTTTTTGATCGACGTCCATCCCGAGATCAAAGGTTGCATTTCTCATGCGACAAATTAATAGGATGGAAGAAATTATTTTCAAAATTTGTTTTTTTAAATAATTAAAAGGCAATTTTTAATATAATTTTTCAAACAATGGCATACGAAGGCGGATCCCGGGGAAATTCACCTAGACCCTGATTGCCAAAACAAAAGTGCCAGACGTCTTGGGCTTCGCGGGTCCTTGACAAAACTGTTCGAAAAGTTATCTCCCCGGAAACGACCGCAACCGATCAGCACATCAGCAGAGGAAATTACGCCAATTTCGACCACGAAGAAAACCCAAGCCAATATCCCAAAACCAGCCTTAGACGACCCAAGGTTGGCAACCCTGAAGGAACCCGGAGCGTCAGCAAGGTCTGTACCTGTGCAAGAAGAATCAAGTTCCGCGTTTTCGCTTCCCGAAGGTCGTTCCGGAGATGAAACCTCGAGAATGTTCGGAAAACCTTTGAATTTCCGCGAAACTTTCCAAAAGGCCGAAAACTCGCCGAGACGCCAAAAAGTGAGTGAGATATGTCGCAAGTTATGCAAAGACGGAAACATACAAGGAATAGACAATAATTTTTGCCAGTTTTTTACACGTCATCTCATTTTTAGATGGCTATTTATATTTAAAGGTCGAGATACAAATATTTCATAATTTGATCATTGTTCTGAATAACCACCCCCGACCGCGTTGATATTGACTAAATAATGCAGAAAATAAAAATGCTGCACATTCTCGGGGAAAAATTAGCTTTACTTAAAATTTTGCATGTTTTATGTCTCCCGACAGTCCCATTTGAACGTAAGGGATTTGAAATGCTTTAAAAGAATCGTAAATAGTAGAGTACTGTACATGGAAATTACAATCTGATGAATAGTGGTGGTTGTGTTCCAATGATGCGACTTATCTACTGGCACATAAATTATTTGTGCAATTGATGTCGAATGCGAGAGATGTATAACAAATGTCTATGTGAAAGGAGAAGTGCGAGAAACTTCAGTCGAAGAAACTCCTTTGCCAAAATTCAAAAACGTGCCTTTTTTACCACATTCCAGGATAAAATTCTGGAAAAAGCGGGCAGGGACGCCGATGATATTTTCGACCGAAAAACTGAAAATCTCAGGTTGTCTTCAAAATCCAGCTCATCACAACAAATGGAAGAAACTGCCGCCGATCGTCGAAACCGGCAGGACATGAAGTATGACATTACAATTTACTTGTGAATAACAAAACTGCAATAAGACACAAACACTCCGTATTGAATTAATTGAGAGATTTATAAATACATTAATACTTTTCCCGACGAAGTCATCCCACTGATTTATAAGCTGTTCATCATCCCCTTCAGCTGCCGGTCTGGTTGATTTCTCTAAGCTCCGAAGCAGGCCATGTAAGGAAATGCATTCTATGAAAATAAATCTGCTTGAAAGCGTTTGGATTTATTGCCATTAAATATTTATCTGGGATATTCGTTGGAGTGTGTACACGTAAATTTATCTCCTAAAAAGCATGCATGGATCGACTGAAGCGCTTAGATTTTATTCCAACGATTATTTAAAAAAAACATTTTTTTGAGATGCGTAAATCTCATAAAAATCCAGAATTTTTCTTCAGAAGATAATTGTAGGATTCGGTAATCTAATTGTCGTTGATAAGATTCGTGAAGCATCGCATACCATCATAGTAGCAATTTAAAGAATGTAATTCCGAATTCAGGGACTCAGTTTGTGTTGAAGGCTTTATTTTCTCGCAGTGATCGCATACACGTGGTTTCATCCCCAGTTCAAACCAGGTTCGAAAATTTGGAACTTTGGTAGAAAGAATAAATTATCAAATGCTACTCCGTAAGAAATATGACTATTAATATCCATTCATCTATCGAAGCCACGAAAAATCAAGCATAAGACTGACATATAAAAAAAAAAACTACTGGTGGAATATCTCTGTAACGAAATTAAAGTAACCAAAAAATTCGTTGTCAACAATTCCGTTGTTAATAAATGACCCCTATAACAGATGATAACCCCTTTAAACGGGACAACAAAAAATCGTTACGCAGAGAAAATCGTTGTAAAGTGTCTACCTGTATCATTTATCCCCTTAGATATGGGCTTTTTTTCTTTTCAAGCATATACCGTACACAATTTTAATTTTTCAGACGTCAAAAGCAAAATGCCGTGGACGAGGCCGACAATGCGTTTACCACCCCGGCAATGACGTCCATTCGCGACAATGAAGTGTGGGAAGGGGAAAAAGAACAATTCAACCTCGACTCTTTCCTTGATAATCAAATGTACATTGACCCAAACAAACCTAAAGCCACAGCTACGACGAACAAAGAGCGCCGAGAAGACGGTGCAACCCGGCGAATGGGTCGCACTATAGCCAAGCAAAAGGACTGGATGCCCAGAACCAGTTCGTCTCGGGACAAAAACTAATGGATCCTCCTTTCTTGCATGTAACAAGTGTTTTGTTAGTGTCACTTTTTTGTCGTTCAAGGGAAATACTATTTGGAAAATTATGGTTTGAGTAAGTGTCTGAATGACTGAGACATCGATGGTCTTTGCTGAAGGCGAGCCCTGATGGGAATTTTCTTTCAAGAAATGTGTGATGGAAGGCATGAGAAAAATCTTAATTTTACACACATTTTCTTGAGAGATTGCCGTATTGCAGCAAAGTTTCCTTCTTCTTCTGATTTTCTTTGAGAATACAATTTGTTGACTCATCAAAATTCCGTAAATCCATCCTACTTATAGTTGATTCCATCAACAAAAGCCACGAAAGATTAAGTAATTTCATTAAGAGTATTTTCTGTATTCCGAGATTCCTTTTTGAATTGCAGATGCGGTGTATATGATGATGAATCCCGAATTATTTACGCCAGAAAATCCCGTACATACCGTTTGAATACTTCAGGGCTTAGATATTTCATTTTGAAATTCAAACCACACACGCGAAAGCTTCATTTCCCGGCCGTTACTTCGTAAGCACGAAGATCAAGGCCACTCGCTTCTTTCCTAATTCATGTTTCCGTGATGAGAA